ACCAGTTCAACGCAGATTCGGAATAAGAACCTTCTTGCTCTCAAACCTCTCTTATTTTCGTTTTTATTCTAAGTTATCGTTTTCTTATTTTCGTTGTGCGGTTCTCGCAGATAGCCGGTTCCTCTGGAAACTTAGGGTTTTTCCCGAAGTTTCCTTATTTACGATTTATTTGACAGTAGGGTGAAATCGACTCCCACATTATCGGATGAAAAACGCTATCTATCAATACAATAGCGGTTTATGAAGCGCTGTATCATCACCCGTCATAACAGGTCAAGCACTTTAGATAGCGGTTTTTTGCACTGCTATTTTATTGTCATATACTATAGCGTTTATTTGTATGCAATTAAAGAGTCTTTAATAGCATGAATTTTTGTTATTATTTACATTAAAATATACTTATTTTAGAATTATTTTTAGTTACTAATTTAAATATAAAAACGTAAATAAAATTTAAAATTATACATGGAATCAAATTTTCTTTATTATTTAAATTTATCTAAAGTTAAATTGGTTTATAAAAATACAAAAAAAAATATAATTAAATAATAAACCAACCAACAAAAAATAAACCAAAAACTAAACCGCTTTAACCTAATTACTAACTAAACACCGTCCCACCACCACCTTCGTCTTTGTGTTTTGCCATGACCTTCATCAGTATCCAGCCATGATTCTTCTTCTTTATCCTGGGATTTGAGAGGCAAGTTGTAGAGAGGAGGCGTACTCGTGTCACATCTATCTAGACCTAATCTCACCAGCTCGACGTCAGCTTCCTCCTCCTGAATCTGAAGCCGTCATCTTCCTCCTCCAGCCGCCATGCCTGCCTTGCATTGCTTCCCTAAAATCAATAATACCAGTTCAAAACAGAGAGAGAGAGAGAGAGAGAGAGATAGAGAGAGATAGAGAGAGAGAGAGAGAGAGTTCTAACCGTGGTTGTGTGGTGGTGGTGGTATGCTGGGACGGCGGACCACAGAGGTTGTGTGGTGGTGGTGGTGATGCTGGGATGACGAATGAACGAAGGTTGTGTGGTGGTGGTTGTGAGCTGGGACGGCAGGCAAACGAATGGAGGTCTTGTGGTGGTGGTGGTGACTGAGGAAGGGACGGATAACCAGAAAGAGAGATCTGTAACAAAAAAGAAGAGAGAGAGATAACGAGAGATAACGTGAGACAAGGGAGGAAGAGATAGAGATCTGAGTATGAGTGATTTCTAGCCATAGGATCAAAAATATTCAATGGTTAATATTGCTATCATTGTGTTTGAGATACTAACCAATAAGAAAAAAAGATAAAAGATAAACCAAACATTAAATTGTGGCCTTTGGATTGAAATCAATCAAAGGCCAAAATAAATCCATTAGAAAATTGTTTTCATTTAATATAATAATTAAGTTAATTATTTATATATAATTTCAAACCAAAAAAATTAATGTAGTTATAGTTTGGTGTCAATGTTTCAATTAATAGATTGGAAATTTTAAAATTATTTATAAGTTAAGATTTACTTTAAATGTAAAATGAAATTAGTTTAAAATATAAGAGTATAGTAAATAAAATTTGTTTAAAGGTTTAAAATTTGAACATATTAAAGTTTTAAAAATGTATACTCAAAGCTTGGTGTTTAACTATGAGAATATTAGATTTGTAATTTATGATTCAGTTTAATAATTAAATGTGTAAATTGAAGGTTTGAGGTTTATTATGATATATAAGATTTGAGTATATAAGGTTTAGATTTCATGGTTATGATTTTAAGTTAAAATTCAAAAATAAATTTGAATTTATTTGAAGAATTAAATTTAAGTTTGATTTTATATTGAATTTAGGTTTTAGATTTAAAGTTATGAGTTTAGAATAAGATTTGAGTATAGGGTTTTGAGGGTTAAAGGTTTAGGGTATTAGGATTTAAGATTAATTATTGAAAAAGAAATAGTGTTTGAGTTTATATTTAATATTTGATGTTAAGTGTAAGATTTGATATTAAAATAGTTAGATTTTGAAGTTATGTTTAAAGTCTAGGGTTTAAAAATTTGTTTAGGGTTTAGAGATTTAAAAAGTCAAAGATAGCGTTTCTAATAATGTGCTACTAAAAATAAGCTATCATAGCGTTTTTATATATACAATTCTATCATAGCGTTTTTAAATATACAAACGCTATCTAAAACTAACGCGTATGTCAACCATAGCAGAAAAGCAAAAAACGTTATCCTTCACTGTTATCAAAGCCCATTTTTCTTGTAGTGAACGGCGCATGTTTGGCACTAGAACAGAGAACCTTTGGATTCCTTTTTTCCATTCCACGATCCGAGAGCCTCTTCTTTCCATTTCTACCTCCAGAGCTTGTGTTCGTTGTTCCTCTAGGAGTTTGAAACTCTTCATCACTCCCATCTTCTTCATCATTCTTGGGAGCATCTTCATCAGTCTTAGATGCTTCATCATTCTCAGATACTTCATCATCCTCAGATACTCCATCAGCCTATCCTTGTTTGTCATGAACCCCAAAAGAAAACTCTGGTGTCTCTTCGAACTCCCAAATATGGTCATTGAAGTCATGCTTAGCGTTTATCATCCTCGTGAGAACCTTGACTCTATCATCCTCCACCTCATCAGCTTTGTGAAATTCAGTAGTACACAATTACCTCCCCATGAGATGTATGGATAGATGACATCCTACACAAGAAAGGTAAACAAAGTTACATACCAAAAACTCATATCAAATCGGATGCAGCCATCTTAAAATAGAATAATTTACCTCGGGTGTAAAGATGTTCTCCAACTGAATGATCTCCCCGTATGAAATCTTTGCAGGTCCTCTCCAGTTTACACATCTAGGACCGTTCATAAATTTTTTTTCAGTTTTCTTCCACAGAGCTTTCCAATCTTTGGTACTGCTTCCATTGCCAAAATCTGAATGGTGTAGGAGAAGCCATCTAACACGTAATTGGTAGTCTTCTCCTTCAGTTTGTCACAAGTTTTACCTATTGACTCACATAGAAGGCTAAAAGCAGCAACTCCCCAAGGATAGTTTCGAAACTTCTCATGATCCATGACCAGCTTCACATACTTGATGGGAATATAAGCCTTCTCATCTCGGCAGCAAACCATAGTAACAATGGTGCACATATAGACCAGTCTTATTCGATCAGCATTACTTCACTTCTTAACATCTTGCTGGTGATTTTTCCACAGGTCTAAAATAAAAACTCCATGTTTTGTCCTCACCACTGTGCTCCAGAAACCACCATCATCTTCCCATTCAACCAATTCCTTACGTGAGATGCTAGTATTGCACTGAAGCCCGGTTACTGCGTGGAACTCTAACAATGAAAATCGAAGTGGTCTCCGCGCAAAGGTAAACTATAACTCATAGTTTTTGTAAGTCACCAGCTCCCTATACAAGAAGTTGTGTATCACTCTCGCAGAGTAACCCAAACCATTCTCGTACAGCTTAAAAATCTGAGCAAAAAGCGAATCTTTCTTCACTTTTTACAACTCCTTTGGCAGCCATCCCTTCAACCTATCCATATAACATACCATCCTGCAGTTGTTATTGATTTGAGTCACTTGAGTCTCCTCATCCGCCTCAAAAAGCCGCTTTGGTACTACCCAGACATACGTACAATCAAAAATAAAATAATGTAATGAGAGCACAAACAAAGAAAAAAACAACAATGTATTTTTACTTGTACAATCTGCGTAATTTTAAACACATGTTCCACCTATTACTAAGATTTCACAGAACAACATTACATTCAGACAACGACAAAAACTAAGCTCTCAAGACTATTTTCACATAACATTTCTATCTGTTTAACATGAATATAAGCTCTTTTTCAAATTTCCCTCTTTCAAACAAATTTAAATGGATACTCTACATATACAAATCAAAAATATTAACATGCATGACTACATTGTAGTCGATAAGAATCTTAATCAACCCAAACAAGTAATTTTTAGTTTAGCAAATCAACCAAATCGGGTCTAACAAATAAATCAAATCGGATCAAAAATATTAACATCCATGACTCAATATGACTCGATAAGAATATTAATCAACCCAAACAAGTAATTTTTAGTTTAGCAAATCAACCAAATCGGGTCTAACAAATAAACCAAATCGGGTAAAAATATTAACATGCATGACTCAATATGACTCGATAAGAAGCTTAATCAAACAATACAAGTAATTTTAGTTTAACAAATAAACCAAAATCGGATTTAAGAAATTTATGGTTAAGAGAATCAAAAGAAGTAATCGCAAACCTAGTGAGATTTTGATGAAAACCTTGAGACAAAGTGTGAAGGGACCCTCCGACAAAACTCGTTCTAGAAAGAAGAAGATCGGATGAACAAAATCTGTAGAGAAAGAACAAATCTCTTCGATTTGTGTGTGAGAACAAAGAGAATAAGGGAGAAAAGAAGATTAGAGAGTAGAAAAACGATTATAAACGAGTAAGAGAAGAAAGAAGCAAGACTTACCCTAAATCTCCATTATCGCCGTCTGAAGATTTTGGGGAAGATGAGAAACTATGAAATTAGAGTAAATATTAAACGGTGTGTTTTATCCTTTTAAAGTGTTGCTGTTTTTACTTTATTTTTTTCTACTTTTTTCCTTTCTTCTATATACTAGTTGCATACTCCCCGCGCAAGCGCGGGGCCGAAATCATTATGTTTGCGTATATTTTTTCGATTTAGTGGTTTAGTGGATTCTTCTAATGACACCAAATAATAATGAAATGGAAAGAATGTAGTAAGAGTGTAAAGTGAAAATATTGTTTATCTAATGTGTTAAATGTTATTTATATGCGAAGTAAGGTTTATAGGAACAGTTAGGCTATAATATAGTTTTTAGTGTGCAAAAGTAGGTGTCTTTTTTTTTTTGCTGTAAATAGTTTTTTATATCGTATGTCAAAACTTGATATAATTCTATATTTATAGAATTTATATTTGTATTAAACGATTTATCAATTTAAAAATAACCTTAATTAAGTTAATATTCGTTGTTTAAGTTTCATTAGATAGGTTTTTATATATGGTTTTTGGTAAGTTTGGGTTTTGTTCATAAATGATGTGGCATTTTTATCTACGGTGTCATCGACTGTGTGAATCCATTCACCGAAGTCTAGAGTCGGTGGTGAGGAATGTTTTCAATGAAATTATGGTAGTAATTAAAATGTAAGAGAAATTACATATTCATTTATTAAATAACGAAAAATACTTAAATTTTGTTGTTTATTTTATTTTATTTCACATACAATTTTTTTTTGAAAATATATTAGGAATGAGTTAAATGTTATTTATATGCAAAGTAAGGTTTATAGGAATAGTTAGGCTATAATATAATTTTTAGTGTGTAAAAGTAGGTATTTGTTTTTGCTGTAAATAGTTTTTATATCGTAGGTCAAAATTTGATATAATTCTATATTTATAGTATATATATTTGTATTAAACGATTTATCAATTTGAAAATAACCTTAATTAAGTTAACATTCGTTGTTTAAGTTTCATTAGATAGGTTTTTATATATGGTTTTTTTTAAGTTTGAGTTTTGTTCATAAATGATGTGGCATTTTTATTTACGGCGTCATCAACTGTGGGAATCCATTCGCCGCAGTCTGAAATCAGTGGTGATAAATGTTTTTAATGAAATTATAGTCATTATTAAAATGTAAGAGAAATTACATATGCATTAAATAAATAACGAAAATAATTAATTTTTGTTATTTTTATATTTTATCTCACATACAATTTTTTTGAAAATATATATTAGGAAATATGTGCAATGATTTCACTTTTTGAGCTCTTAATCTATATTATTCAAACCTCATTAAGTTATCCACGTAGGTAACCGCGTGGGATTCATTTTTTGGTCGGTTCATTTTTGGATTCATTTTTTATTATTTTTGGGTTGAACTATATATTATAATAGGATAGTTTTAAGGTTCTTTAAGCCATCCGCGTGAGACTTGCTTTTTTTGTTTTTTATTGTTCGTTTTTGCATCCATTTTTAACTATTTTTGGTTTGAACTCGTTAAGCTTTAAGGTTTATCCAACTATTTTGATCTTTAAAACAATAAGCCATTAAAAATAAAACATAAAAACCTTACAAACAAAAAGTCCATATGATAACAACCCAAATAAAAAAATCAAAAATAAATGATGGCTGCGTAGTTTGAACCCACGATCTTGCATGCTTAGTTAGACACCTTATACCACTTGACTAAAGTTTATTTCATTGTTTGTAATCATCTTACCAAGACTATAACTTTTAAAAAAAATACCTACGACCCACAAAATTGCTGACGTGGCGCGTTGTGGAGCCTAGAAAGTCTACTATTATAATATAGATTACAAAATTTAATTTTTATTATGTAAATTAAGGGGTATAATAATATTTTTTTAAAAATATAAGTCCTAATTAATCAAAAAAAAGTGTACAAATCTTACTTTCCCAAATCATAGTTCAAGATGTGTCTTTCTTTTTCCAATTTTTCCTATTATTTTTGTCCTCTGCACATACAAAAGCTAAGTTATAATAAAATAGTTTTGCATTTCTGACCTACTTTTCTCTCACATTTGAGCCTCCTCTGTGATCTGCGAAATGGAGCCACCGAAGGACCAACACAGGCCGGGGAAATCTCCCTCCGAACCACCGTCCTCCGCTTATCCTCACTCCGGTTGCTGTACTAGCTGCGGCGGACCAACAATTTCGGAGCCGCCACCTCTAGCTTCAATACCCGATATGTCACCGCCACCAAACTACCGCCCGATCCGAGCTCCAGCTATCAATCTCCCCTACAACTCACAGGCGATCATCCTCTCCCCCGTTCCTCATGCGGAGCAAGTCCCCGTCGTCACTCCGCCGTATCAATTCGAGCGTCCCGTCAAGAGAATCCACTCCCCAGATGATATTCGCCGCTTCCAGGAATCAGCCTCTTTCAAGAACTTCTTAGGATTCGTAGTATCTCTATCGGAATCGATCCGCGGACACAAAATCTCTGATCCTTGCCATGTGTCACCCACCGTCGCCGCCATAGTGTCAATCCTTGAGACCTTGTTGCAATGGATCGACGAGATCCCTCCTGTTCAGATGTCCTCTCGATACGGTAACATCTCGTTTAGGTCGTGGCACGATCGTCTCGCTGAGAAAGGCGAGTTGCTTATCCTTGAGTTTCTCCCCGACGAGTTCAAAGATTCCACGATCGAGATCGTTCCTTACTTGTTCGATAGCTTCGGGAACGCAAGCAGAATCGATTACGGGACGGGGCACGAGACAAACTTCGCGGCCTGGCTGTATTGCTTAGCGAAGATGGGGATCATCAAGGAAGAAGATTACCATGGTGTGGTGGCTAGGGTTTTTGTGAAGTATCTTGAACTGATGCGAAAGTTGCAGATGGTTTATTGCTTAGAGCCTGCTGGGTCTCATGGAGTATGGGGACTTGATGATTACCATTTCTTGCCGTTTATATTTGGGAGCTCTCAGTTGATTGATCACAAGTATATGAAGCCCAAATCGATTCACAACGATGATATCTTGGACAATTTCTCTACTGAGTACATGTACTTGTCTTGTATTGGGTTTGTGAAGAAGGTGAAGAAAGGGTTGTTTGCTGAGCACTCCCCGCTGCTTGATGATATCAGCGGTGTACCGAACTGGAAGAAAGTGAATAGCGGTTTGCTTAAGATGTACAAAGTTGAAGTGCTCGAAAAGGTTCCTATTATGCAGCATTTCCTCTTTGGCTGGCTTATTAAATGGTATGGCTCTTCTTTCGTTTTATCTCGTTTTTAAGCATAGAAACCTCTGGCTCTGTTTGGTATCTAGAACTAAAGGAGAGATAGTTTGGTGGTCTTTTGTATCAATGTGTTTGATGGGACGCAGTAACTTCTTGATTGTTACAAACCCTATTAGTTAGAGAAACTTGTAGTTTACAGATTTTAGTTACATTATCTGCTGACGCTTGACATTATCAGACATGAACTTAACTGAGACGCCTTGTTTTTTCCCACTCATAGTCATACTTAACTTCTCTAGTTGAGTCATTAGGTTCTTGGAATTTAATTAATTTAACCTTGTTGGCAGGGAGGAGTGAATTAATACATTGGAGCAGGGACGTCGATTTCTACTCGGAGAGATGGCTTATAATGTAGTAGAGACATGTCTTTTCTTTTTCATGTTTCGGATAGCTCGATGAGATGGATACGAACCTTTAATGGCTTATTCTATCTTTGGTATTGTATCCTTTGGGTTTGATACTTCAACTTATTTTATTTTTTGGTTATTTTACTTTGAATTTTACTTTGAAAGTCTCAGTAGCAGAGTAAATGACAAATACAGAATCCGTTACACAGGTTTCAGTAGAGATATTCGTAACTCTATCCATACGCTAATGTTGAAAGAGCCATAAATAAACGAAACAAAAGGGCCATAAAACACAACTCACCGATCTGAGGAAAAATTTGATTTAAACTTCAAAATTTGCTCTGCAAAATGTTCAATCTAACAACAGCCACCACATTTTTTTTTTCACTTATAAAAGGAAAGTTTCATACTACAGCAAACAAACATTAAACCAGTGGAATATGCATGGGCTGCTACTTGCTAGCAGTTCTAATCTCCTCCAAACGAGTGAGAAGTCGTATTCCCCTAAATTTGAATGATGTTTGGATGCCAAATAAAAAAAGCTGTGGAATATGCATAGGTACTTCTAGCAGTTCTAGTCTCCTCCAAACAAATGAGAAGTATTATTCCCCTATATCTGAATGATGTTTGGATGCCAAATAAAAAAAAGCTGTCTCACGTTGAATAGGTAATTGTATTCTTAGCCTAGTGGTGACTACTTTTCCACATGAGTCCGTTTCTTTCCCAAAACTGTCAATGACCCAGTTTACTCTCAAAAGAAATCAGTTCATCTAACACACCAGTCCAGTACTTGCCTGCTTCTGCCCTTGCTCTATTCATGGTAGGCAAACATTCACTCTTTTTTGGCCTTCTGAAAGGTCTCTGTCCCCTAGTTTGAGACCATTTGTCATTGGTTCCATAATGATTTGCTGATTCTGATATATGTAAACGAATAGGAGACACGTGTCAGAAGAATAGAGGTAGAGAGGAGTTTGTTACAACAGATAAAGAAGTGGGCAGGTTTCGATTGTTCATTGGAGGAGTTCATCTTATCGTTGACCGTATAAAACAGAGTTGTTGTTCATTTTTAGGATTATCCAGAAATTGTTGTTGTTTCTTCTAAGAATCTTGTTCATCATTGTAATTCGAATTAAAGCCTTATCGTTTGGGAAGAATCGTTCTTAGTCGGGATTCTTTACAAGTAAGCCGTGATTTGGTGTTTATTACGAACGTCGAGTCGATTACTAACGACAACTACGTTTATCATTAATAGTGGTATCATAGCCATCGTGTCTTTGGAGCTTTTCGCGGTGTTGATCAGAATTCATGACAGGAACAAGATCACAAACATTATTTGAAGGTGCGGCGACGAGAGAGATGGAAGGAGCTTTGGCAAACAGATTTGAAGCATTAAAGAAAGCAACCACCTCTCAGATCTAACAGGATGAGAAAAGAGATGTCGAGGTGGGAGAGATGATTGAAGCTTTCAAAGTAATGACGAATCAAAATCCGATGAATGCTTCGACGAGTAGAGGTGAGGTTCACGGAAAAGCTTACGGTGGATATGGTGAGGAATGAACCATTCCGTTACAATCGTCATGATCAGGTACAACACTATAAGACTAGATTGACTTTCCAAGATTCGATGGATCCAAGATCAATGAGTGGTTTGGTCAGGCTAAGGAGTTCTCTGATATTGATGATACACCTGAGGAATCTAAAGTAGGAATATCTTCAATGCATTTTGATGGAGAAGCATCGGCTTGGCATCAGGCTGTGAGGTAAGAAGACGAACAAGCAGTAATACTGAGGAATTGGAGAGCATATAAGAATAGACCCAAAGAAAGATTTGAGGAAATTATTGATGATCCATTGGCTGAATTGAAGGATTAAAAGGAGTCTGAGGGAATTTCTGCGTATCATGCAAAGTTTGAACTCATCAGATCAAGACTCTGTATGTCAGAAGAGTACTTGTTGAGTGTCTACCTTGCGGGTTTGAGACTAGATACACAAATGCACATATGTATGTTTAGTCCTCAATAACCTAAACAGTGTTTAGTGCTTGGAAGATTATATGAGAAAGCACATCCTCGAAAAGAAGTTAAAAACAGTTGGGTTCCTCAGAAAACACAGCCATCTACAAATCATCAGAGAGGTCTCATTAGTCAAAAGAAGGATGAAGAGAATAATAAGAAGGAAATGAATGGGAAGTTGAAACCGTTTTTGTTACAGACTGAGATGAGTGAGAGAAGAGCTAAGGGATTATGCTATTACTGTGATGAAAAATACACTCCTGATCATTATTTGAAGCATAAGAAAAACACAACTGTTTTTGATGGAGTGTGAAGAGGAGGAGGAGTTTCATGAGGCCTTAGAGTATGCTGAAACATAAGAGAAGTATGATGGAGTTGACCAAGCTCGTATATCAAGCAATGCTATCTCATGCATTACTGACTATACAACAATAAAGGTTAGAGGAGTACATGCGAAAAAGACGTTGTACGTGTTGATTGACTCAGGGTCAACACACAACTTTATAGACAAGAAGGCCGCAGAGATGTTGGGCTGTAGAATAAAAGAAGGAAGAAGAACTAAAGTTGCGGTTGCAGATGGAATTCAAATTGTAGTTTGTGGGAGGATTGATAATTTCAGATGGGAGTTTCAGGGTCATCAGTTTTTTCAGACTTTATGGTGATTCCTCTTGGGGGACACAATGTAATCTTGGGAGTACAATGGTTAGCAAGAACTGGTCTAATAACTAGGGACTTTGAGAAGTTGGAAATGCGGTTTAAATGGGGTAACCAAAAGGTGTTGTTGAGTGGTTTACAACCAGGGTCTGTGAGAGAAGTGAAGTTCAAAAAGAAAGACAGGATTGGTAATTCTAATATGCAACTGAACATGATATATGCATATGAAGATTTGGGAGAGGGTCCAACGTCTTTGAAGGTTTCAGGAGGAAAAACAGAGTATGGAAAAGTAGTGGAGTGTATTGAGTAGTGAACAAAGACTTATGAAGACATATTCACCGAACCTACGTCTTTACCACCTTTTAAACTCAATATTATCACAAGATTGGACTAAAAGAGGGTTCTGATCCCGTGAACCAAAGGCCTTACAGATATGCTGTGCACCAAAAGAATGAGAATGATAAAATGGTGCAGGAGTCATTGAAATCAGGCACAATGCAGCCTAGTTACAGTCCGTATGCTTCACCGGTGGTGTTAGTAAAGAAAACGGACAACACATTTTGGTTGTGTGTTGATTACAGGAAGCTGAATAATATGACTATGAAAAATCGTTTCCTATACCGCTGATTGAAAATGAGCATGGTGGTTCAAGTATGTACTTGAAGATAGACTTGTGGGCAGGGTATCATCAGGTGAGAATGGAAGAAGGTGACATCCATAAGACTGTCTTCAGAACGCACAGTGGGCTTTTTGAATATTTGGTAATGCCTTTTGGCCTAACAAATGCTCCTGTTACATTTCAAGGGCTAATGAATCACGTTTTCAGTGAGTTTCTGAGGAAGTTTGTGCTTATTTTCTTCGACGACATATTGATCTAAAGCTCGAGTGCAGAAGATGACATTAAAAACGTAGAAGAAGTTTTTCAGCTGATGAGGATTAACATGTTGTATGCAAAGCGAAGTAAATGTGACTTTGCAACGAATAAGGTGAAGTATCTTGGTCATTTTATACAAGCAAGTGGAGTCTCTACTGATCCGAGGAAGGTCAAGGCAGTGAAGGAGTGGCCTCAACCTAAAAACTTAAAGATGTTACGTGGGTTTTTAGGTTTGGCCGGTTATTACAGAAGATTTGTGAAGAATTTTGCTATTATTGTAGACTTTTAACGAATTTAATCAAGAAAGAATGGTTTTACTTGGAATGAAGAGGCACAAGCTTCTTTTGAGGATTTGAAAGAGAGTCTCTGTAATGCTCCAGTGCTCGCTTTACCACAATTTGACAGGTCATTTGTGGTAGAAACTGATGCATGTGGGTGTGGTATTGGGGCAGTGTTCATGCAAGAGGGACATCCGTTGGCATATATCAGTAGACAGTTAAAAGAGAATTAATACATCTCTTTATATACGAAAAGGAGTTGTTAGCCGTGGTATTTGCAGTGCAAAAATGGAGTCATTACCTTTTGGCAAACAATTTTGTCATCAAAACGAATCAAAGAAGCATTAAGTACTTACTGGAGCAGCGTCTTAACACTCCAGTTCAGGAACAATGGCTTCCAAAACTATTTGAGTTTGACTATGAGATACAGTATAAGCAAGGAAAGGATAATGTGGCAGCAGATGCATTGTCAAGAGTGGAAGGGTCTAAAATTCTTCATTGCCTATGACAGTGGTGCAGTATGATTTGTTGCAGAAGATTATGGATTGTTATGGTCAAGATGCAGTAATACATCATTGATCAGTTACAGAGAGATCCAAAATCTAAGAAACATTTCTCTTGGTCTCAGGGTATTTTCCGAAGTAAGAACAAGATTGTAGTAGCTGACAATTTAACACTACAAAATTCTATTCTCGATTGGTTACACTGTTCAAGTCAAGGTGGACATTCTGGTAGAGATGTGACTCTACAGAAGGTTAAGGGATTGTTTTACTGGAAGAGAAAGTCAAAGGACGTTCTGGCTTACTTATGGAGTTGTGCGGTGTGTCAACGATGTAAATATGATACTGCAGCTTCTCCTGGATTACTGCAACCTCTTCCCATTCCTGAAGCTGTCTGGGTTGACATCTCAATGGATTTCATTGACAGCCTACCATTATCTTATGGTAAATCGGTCATTTTTGTGGTGGTAGACAGGTTGAGTATGGCGGCTCACTTCACGGCCTTATCTCACCAATATTCAGCAGATTCAATGGCTCAGGTCTTCTCGGATCAGGTTTATAGACAACATGGATTTCTGCGATCCATTGTGAGTTATAGAGACACGGTTTTTCTCAGTGAGTTTTGGCAAGATTTTTTCTCTTTGAAAAGGTGTGCTCTCAATCTATCAACGGTTTACCATCCACAGAGTAATGGTCAAAACATAAGTGGTTAATAGGTGTGTTGAGACGTACTTAAGGTGTATGACAAGTGATAAACTTCATCTCTGGAGCAAGTGGTTACCGTTAGCAGAGTACTGGTACAATACAAACTTTCACTTTGGTACGCAAACTACTCCTTATGAAGTTGTCTATGGTCAGCCACCACC